CTTTATGAATTTGACTGTCACACAGTACACAATCTCACTCAATGCCATCTCATTGATAAATAAGTTATACCAGAGGAGTATGTGATTTTATTATACAACTCAAGGGTTGTTCATCATATTATAAATAAATAGATATATAATAGTATAGTTACTAATATTTATTTTTTTCAATTTCAGATATATAAACATTGCCATTGATAAGGAAGATATAACTTCAAAAGAGAAACAAAATATTGTAAAATTATTGCATAATGGGAACACAATGTTGGGAATTGTAAAAATGATAAACAGAGTTCAGAGAACAATGAAAAAGGAAATTTAAAACATAGGGAAGAGATGACAGAGAGGAAAATTAACTTTAAGCTTATCGGTAAAAGTGATTTAAGAAAAATTGAAATGTTAATAAACATGAAAAGAGGATTGGCCGCATGAAAATATTTGAAGAAATTAGTGCTATGAATGTAGACTCAGAAAGGTTGCAGAAAATTAAGGACAAAATATTTAAAAGCAAACAAACTTAAAGGAAATATTCACAAAAAGAAATATTTTGGGTAAAGCAGTACATGAAAACTGATTTCTCAATTGCAATTTTAATGACTAGAAATTTTTTTACAACACAATGATCTGTGTTGAAATCCTCACAGTATTGTTGAAGTTATCAGTCACATTTCTTGATGAGATTTATAAACTCTACATTTTGCTCAATTTCACAAACCAACCAATGAAATTTGAATAAGCTGAATTGTTTGGAAACATACTTTGACAAAATCTCTGCTTTGCAGTTTAATAATTTCTTTAATTTAATTCTATAGGACTTAATGGTAAAGGATATTTTTTAAGAAAATTTCTTTTTTTCTTTTTTAACAGCAAAGAATAAATTCTTACGATTTCTTACTCTTGAGCATGCAACATACGACTGGACATGTGTAACTATTTCTTTCTACAGACAAATTCCAACTTTTTTGAAGTGTTTGGTCTTGTCATTTGTTTATAGTTCTCGCAAATGCAGGGTGAACTGGAAACTGGATTCTTGGATATATAGAAAATTAAAGAAAAATATGCACCAAACAATATTGCATTTCTATCAAATAAGTATTTGTTAATTTAATCATTAAATTGTTTTTAAAATAGTGGGAGCATTTTGTATGTTAAATAACAAAACTCAAGTTTTCCCCAAATATGTATATATATATATATATATATAGAGAGAGAGAGAGAGAGAGAAGAAGAGAGAGAGAGAGATACCTATATATTTGTGCTTGCATCTAAGTTTGTGTATATATATATATATATATAGAGAGAGAGAGAGAGACAGACAGACAGACAGAAAAAAAGAGAGATACCTATATGATGTCTTTATGCCTGCATCTGAGTTTGTGTGTTTTATATATATATATATATATATATATATATATATATATATATATATATATTTAATCATTTTACCCCAAGCAAGGTGGAACTGCCACTAGTATGCAGGGGGTTACAGAGAGTGAAGGAGAGAGAAAAGACTGGCTCTTGAGTTTTGAGAAGACTAAGGAAAGGATAAAAAGCTGAACAGGGTTCAAGAAGATAGAAGATGGCTATTAATGTTGCATTTAAATTTTTGAAGATTGTAGTTATCAGGGAAGTAAGGAAACATAAGGTAGTTCCACAGGCAGGAAGTGCAAGAAAAAAAACTGTTGTCGTAGACTGGAGTAGAAACTATAACTTAGGTGCAATCAGCATAACTGCAATATAAACCCCAGGTGGGTTCTCATATACCTGAGCAGGTGTCTGAGACACAGATTGGCTACCACCTTAGCAGAGAACTGAGCTTGGAATACATATTTAGTCAGCCATTTTATATACTAGAATTTTTTGGCAACGTTGAAATCCTCACAATATTTAGTATTGTTGACGTTATTGATATCATTTCTTGTCAAGATTTATAAACTGTACATTTCATTCAATTTTGCAAACTAATTGATGAAATATAAAAAATAAAAGAAAAGATATGCAAGTAACAATATTGCATTTTTATTAAATAAGTATTTGTTATTTTAATCATTAAATTGTTTATAGAATAATAGGAGTATTTTATATGTTAGATAATAAAACTTTTAATTTTTCCCAAAAAAATGAATGAACATTTATTGTACTAATCTACACATCCTAGTAAAACCAACTGTACTTTGTAACCACTTACCTGTTTACACTTCTCCCCCAAATTTGGTTTTGATTGGTCAATGTATGCCTATTTTAGAGGGTGTGGCAGAGGGACAGACTAACGGAAGTCACATCATTTTATATTTACATATATATTATCCTACACATTATCTACTTATCTCAGACTGTTTTTACCTATCACTACTTCTTCATGTCAGGAAAATCTATTTTATTATTTTGATCTCCATCTGTATTTCTTTATCAGAACCATCATAGACTATATCTGATGGTCATAAAGGTTGAGAGTTTCTCGTTTTCTTTCATCAACTGTAATTCTATTAATGGATTTTATATATATATATATATATATATATATATATATATATATATATATATATATATATATATATATAAGTATTTATGATTTTAATCATTAAATTGTTTTTAAAATAGTGGGATTACTTTGTATATTAAATAATAAAAATTTTAATTTAAAAAAAATTTTTTTTTTTTTGCAGGATAAATGCATAATAAAAATTAATTCACACATTTCTTGGATATTGTGTTGATTACATATATATTTCTATAACCTGTATCTTTTAGATTTATTTATAAATAAAAATTGAATTTGCACTTTGCAGGATGAATGCATAATAAAAATTAATTGTACGAAGCTACGTACCCTAGTAAGATCAACTGTACTTTGTAGCCCCTTACCTGTTTGTACTTCTCCCTAAAATTTGTTTTCAATCAATGTTATATAGGAATAAAGTGTCACTGCCAACAGTTCAGTTTGAACATAGATCACCTGTGAGCAAACACAGGAGATCCCATTAATGAATTAAGTGGATCATATGACCATGGGAGAAATATATAAAGAGGTTGTAGCCTAATGTCTAAATGATCTCCATTTCTAGTCTATCCTCTATATCATTCACTATACTGTTTCTCTATACTGATCACTATATGGTGGTTACTTGCAAACAAGTATTATCGAGCAAGTACTATTAGTGTGAGCGATATTTGAAGGTGTCTGATACCAGTATTTTTCAATGATGGGTACTATCATTGTATCCATGATTCCAAAGTCTCTGCAACAATAAGCATTACAAAAGTGACAACAAGTATTCATTAGAATTACAAAAATGTCAATGAGGGTTCATTGATATCACAAAAGTCAATCAATGTATGACTATTTTAGAGGTTGGGACAGACAGACAAACAGAAGTCACAGAATTTTTTTTATATAATATATAGATGAATGGAGAGCTACATTGGCAGTGCTTGAGGATCAGTCCTTCAAGGAAATTCACTAGTGGGGAAAATGGAATAACGTTTTGGGCTAGTATTGTAAAGGAAAAAAATCATAGGTACCATCAGACTTGATTGATTGATCAAGATGAATGTAGAAAATTAATCTAAGTACTTTGACAAGATAATTTTAAAGTGGTACAGGTCACAGCTAAGAACCTTTAAGCCAAAAACTATATTCAGGCAAGATAATGCTATTTGACATTTAGTGAAGCTGATTATTATTCACCTTGCCAAAAAAGATTTCATAGAAACAAAATTAATAAAATGACTCCCAGCCTCCCTAGATATTAAACCAATAGAAACCATTAAAAAAGATGTGTATGAGACTAGAAATCAATATTCAAGCTAAGAAGATCTCTGGGAAGCAATAAAAACTACATCAATTAATGTTAAAAATGTTATTTACTTTGCTTTGCTGACACATGGCCTTGTGCCAAAGCCATGTGGTAGATAGAATTAAACACTTCGAAATATTAATAAACAGAAAAATTTCATTAGAAACAAAGAAAAGAATACTGAAATGTTATAAAATATCAGTCCTCTTATGTGGCAGTGAATACTGGACAATTTCATCATAGATGAAGAGACTTGAGGCAATATAAGCATGGTTCTACAGAAGGATACTGAGGATGCCATGAACTGAACATGTGAGGAATGGCCAGGTTTTAGGGAAAATGGAAACAAAAAGGATTTTTACACATAGAATCAGAAAGAGATAGTTGAAATTTCTATGGAACATAATGAGGAAGGAAGGCTTGAAAGCAGTAAGTAACCTACCTGACAAGATTGTGTAAATGGTTGGCAGAACAGGGATTGTGGAAGATAGCAAAAAAACGTAACTTACTAAAGGTAGGAAAACCATGATTACCTGTGTTCTGTAGGGTCATTTTATATAAATGACTCAGCTTACAATCTATTACTCTGAATTAGCCAAAATAATTTGTTGAAACAGTAGAAAAGTTAACAAAATCAATAAAATGACAAAGGTTATAGAATTTCAAGGCGCCCATATTGTAAAATATTAAAATAAGAATTTACACATTGTCTAGGAAATTGTGCTGATTGAATATATATTTCTATAACCCGTATCTTTTAGATTTATTTATAAATAAAAATTGAATTTTCACTTTGCAGAATAAATGCATAATAAAATTGCAACTCAGATAATATATTGCTTATATAAATATATCTTGAAATATCAATAAAGCCACTGAGATGCAATAGGTAACTGATTGTGAGGGAATATGAAAAAAAAGAACACATTAAGGAAAGAAAACAATAAAAGAACAGGAATTGAGAAGACAGAAGATAACAGTATGTATAAAATGTATTTAATATATATATATATATATATAATAGAGAGAGAGAGAGAGAATTACCTCCCATATAATGGTAAGATATTACTTAGATGAAGAGACCATTGTCACTAATATCTTACCATTATGTGGTCGGTATTTCTGATACACTCTCTCTCTATACATATGTGTGTGTGTATGTATATAAGAAGACATATTTATATTATATTTATACTTACAGTCAAAAAACACCAGTTCTCATTTGATCACTGAAGTTGAGCAGTGTTGAGCTTCGTCAGTACTGAGATGAGTGACTGCATCAGAACACTGGCTACTGTAAACAATCTGCTTCAATCAAAAATATGTTTTGACTTTAAACAACCCACAAAGTGTTGATAAGCCATAAAAATAAATCATTTTGTTATAAAAAAGGCAATTTTTTACAATAAAATTATTATTAATCAAGTAATGACAGTCAAAGTTTCACAAAATATTCATATGAGTAATATATCCTGTGAATTCAAGCTTATATCTATCCTTATTAAAAATACTGACAGATAATAAAAACTGCTGTCAATTTAATATTAAAGATCACAGAGTGAAGACAAAAATTGTTATTAGTTATATCTTGTTATACTGCATGCTTCTACCAATTAAAATAAATGTTTTATAAAATAAACTGTGTTAAACACTTATTCTCCTATAAGTGCCAGTTCACCCTACTCTTTTGAAGAGGAGTAGAAGTTTATCCCTTGTTCTCTGTTTAGGATTAGGTTTTTGGTTCCTTCTAAAATCAACTCACAATTTTATACTTCTTACATTGCCACCTAAACTCTGAAATTTTATTTATTTTTTATATTTTTTATTTTTTTCCTCAATAGGAGCAGATAGGTTCATACTCCTTCCTGGTCTTTTGACAGAAGTAGAAGCTTATCCTTTATTTCTTGTTTAAGATTTGGTTTCCAGATCCATCTAAAGTTTTCTCATTCTTTTTAAGTCTCTGCAACCCTCTTGGGCATTTGTAGCATTATTGTTTTCCTTTGGGTTGAATTGATAAAAAAAAAAAGAGATGAAATAATTCACATGGTGAAATATTATGTACTGATTTAATCTGCTTTGGTTATTATATTAATAGGTCATAACATTCCCCAGACACTTTCTAGTTTCTGTTGTAAGAGAAAGATTTCTGGGAATTTTTAAAGCAAACCCTTTATACAAAGAGCAGGATAGTTTGTTTTCATTCTGCTTTAACCTTGTGATATTGCTTGTCTATTTTTTTCTACTAACCCAGAGTGAGTATGTCTTTTTTTTGTACAGCTTGACTCAGGTACTGAATTCAAAATCACAATATAAAAAAACGCAAATAAAAAATGTGTATATGAAATCATATGACTTGGCTCCCTGGGGTTTAAAGGGTCAAACTATTTTATGGCCTCATTAAAATTTTAGCACCCTCATAACAGCCTGGAATATTTATTGCTTTTTCGTAATGCTTGAAGGTGAATGACTTTCACAATATACAAGTAAGAAATTTATTTTCTTTTTTTCATCATGTGGACTGATTTCATTTAAGACATCACATTAAAGTAAATTAAGCAATATTTAATTTAGAAAGCAGCACCAACTTTAAGAACATTTAGCAGACAGAAGGAAAATAGGTAAAAAGAATTGTTCAGAACTTGATTAGAAAGTTTGTTTTTGCTTTTATTTCACCAATGATAATAGCACAATCCAAGAGAATCACAGGACTGAGTGCTGAGGAACACATACAACATAGATTCAAAAAACGCTCAGATGTATTGCTAAACATTGTGTTAAAAAGTAGACTAACAAAGACAGTAGTATGCTGTGGGTGTTCACTCCCATCATAGTAGCAGAAATTAGCCTTGTGTTCACAGAGATAAAAGTATACTTGACAGTAAATAAAAATACAGAAATAACAGAAATGTATGGTAAATTGTATGTTAATTTCATACAATTTATTTATATTTTTTGTGTGTATTGGTGGGTGTATTGTTTTCGTTACAACTGTTTCATAGTACATGTAACAAGAGGAAAAATTTTAAACTGAATTTTTTTTCTATCTAAAATATACCTAATTATGGAAATTAAAATTTCGCTGAAATACCTTAGAAAATTTACAAGTTTTCATTTGAAATAAAGAAAATACAAACTAAGAAAATTGTAAAACTATAATTTATAGGGATGGAAAAAAAATGATGTCAGCTCAAACTGACAACAAGCGTCTGAAAAATAAATATGAAGCTGAATTATGCTGAAAATATGACAGTGATTTTTACATGTATACAAGTATGACTATGAATGTAATATTTATTTTCAATTTTTCTCTTCAGAGCTCATTTTGCACATTTACAAATCTACCATTTGGCCATTCATTAAAAACTGCTGACATACCTGGTCTGGTGGTTCTATTGATCTGTAGTCTTCTTGAACCCCATTCATCTTTTGTCCTTTCCTCAATCCTACATATACTCGGTCTTTTCTTTCACTTTCAATCCCTTTAATCCTTGCATACTAGTTGCTTGGGGTGAAATGATTAAAAGAATTTAATAGTAACTGGATGAATCTTTTATTTTATCAATCTGACATATTTTTATCACTTCAGACTCCATTTATTTTAAACAGTCTTTTATTTAAGCTACTGGCCTGAATATTTGATAGATCTCATTATGGAAAAATGCGCCCTTTGATATAATTAGAACCTGTGTCACTCATTGCAGGAGAAACTATTATTAAATCCAACATACTTTAACCAACTTGGCTACAAATAGTGTCATGATTAAGATGCTCACTTATCTTGTTGCTGCTCATCCATTCATCAGGGCACTGGATTGTAAAATCCATTTTAATTTTACAGTCAAACCACTTGAAGAGTGGATGTAATCTCTTTGAAACTCAAGAAAGGTCAAGATAAATGAACATTTAGCTTTATTTAATACTATTAATGTTCTATCTCTTGATATCAAAACACTGAAATTACAAAGATTACTTGCTTTAAAAATGTCATCTTCTAGAAATACCCTTTTTGGGTGAAGAATACATCTTTGTAATTGTTTAATATTCATATATATATATATATATATATATATCTATATATAAAGATTCTTCTCCTATGCCTCATAAAATATCTTGATATAGTAGGCTGATGAAAGAAAGTTAAAATACATTCATATATTCTAAGTTTAAATTGGGAGTTAGGCATTTTAGAAATGTTAGGAGACTGTTAAATACAGTTTCCACAAAAAGCCATCTACAAAACATTCTATACAACCCTAATCATGACAAATAAATAGACTGATACATACATATATATATATATATATATATATATATATATATATATATGTGTGTGTGTGTGTGTGCGTGCGTGTGTGTATACTACTAGCAGCATGGCCCCGCGTTGCCGTGCTTGATTAAAAAATCATACGACTCATACAGCAATCACTATCACTTGACTTAAAATATTTTTGCTCTTCCTTTCCTTTAAAAGGAGTGCCCTATTCCGTGCTGATGTTGCTACATGCCTTACTTCTTAAATTTTTCCCACTTGTGACGAATGCAGCTATCGATTTTTTTTGCATGCTAGCATGTTAGTTAACATTCATGTCAGTCAGCTGTTGGTTCTCACACTGGCCAATAGAATCTTCTTGCCTATTCGTGGCAGCCAGCTATAGGCTCTCACTCTGGCCAGTACAAAATGACCGCAAACTACATGAAAAGTGACGTAGATGCATGAAAAAATCGATTATTTCCACGATCGATGGGAGTTGGGAAATGCAAAGTCAGTCTTGGCCTTCCCGTTAACTTGTAGCATGTGCATGTAAATTTTGGTGCAAATCTGTCCAAAATTGTATTGTGCATTCGTTACACACACAGACATCCTGCCTTTTATATATATATATATATATATATATATATATATATATATATATATATATATATATATATATATAAGCAAATATATGGATATAGATCCGACAGTATGAAGAAAAGTATACTGAAAAAACAAACAAAAGTCCTAACATGGACGATGGACATAAAAGCAATACCAATCCAAACAGATAACTGAAATCTTTTATAAGATCAGCGTTCCGTTTAAATATTATCACGTCGTCATCATGTGGGTGATGTTGTGAAAACATGTCCATCGTCTTTTTCATGTTGAATTGTATATGGTCTATGTTAATTATGTTTTATGAATATGTCCTGAAGATGGTCTATTAGACCGAAATGTCCGATGTTGACATTAAACATTAAAACAGCATAATCGCATATTAGGATTTTTGTTTATTTTTTTCAGTATATATTTCTTCATATATATATATATATATATACATATGTAATGTGTTGATTTTCATACTAAAGCTAGTGTATATATAAAATCTAAACATATAAAATTAATTTAGATGGAAACTAATAAATATTAATACATACTGAAAAGCGCAAAAACCTTTAAACTATATATAAAAATGTATTTAAAACTTTTTGTAATATGAGATCTGTTGATAAAAATTTGTATTCATTTTGAATTCCTTGTTCACTAGGTGTGTGGCACTGACATAGCTTGGCAAATAATAATCATGGATGTGTCAACAGACACTCTCCAATAGATTTACTCAGTTCACAGTGTGAGGCCACTGACTGAGGTTGTGCATTATGTGACCTCTGCATTCTTGTGCACAGTCCTAATTTGACTTTGATTTTTTGGATATCGAAAGGGAATAAATATCAGATTATGGACAAGATTAAAGAGAATATGACACGAAAGCTGATGGGACATTGCGGACTGCTTTGAAAAGTACAAAGGAGACTGAATGTACATGTAGTCCCAAGGCTACTACTTTGACGTGGATGAATGTACTGCTGCTCTAGGAAGGCTATTTTGTAACTAATAGTAATTGGATGAATAATTTGCATGCAGAAATGTTATACACATGATGTCACTTTAGAGTTTAGACTAATATCAATGCCCTGGATATAGCCAACAAAATCTTGTCTACCTTACTGAAAACACACAGTTCTAGATAATAACTGAAGCAGTTGAAAATATTGGAACAAAAACAAAACAGAATATAAACTTTATCCATAATTTTGGTCCTGAGATAGAAGAACTTATTCAAAAATTGGAAAAATACTTAATATTATACAGGCAGACATATCACCTGAATTTAACAAAACTTTCCTGGAGATGTGTGTGTGTGTGTGTATATATATATATATATATATATATATATATATAGTAGGCTGATGAAAGAAATTCGAGGAAGAACAAAAAAAATATATTGATAATAAGAATAATAATATTTATTGTATATTAG